CAAATGCAAATGTACACTGTTGGATGTTTTAAAATAGGCAAAGTAGCCTTTTAGCAGATAGCAGAAACTTCAAACCTTCCTTCGTTGTCCTTTAGTGTCTGAAGAAAGTCACGAGGAACGTTTACGTAAAAGTAGGGTTGCACAATTAATCGAAATATTATCAAAACCCCAATATGACTTAGTACAGTATCCAAATCACAGAATCGCAGCCGTAATATCTGCAAAATAATAATAATATTAATAAATAATCACAATAATATGATTTTTTACCACCTTGAGCAGCCCTACGAATGAAAGACCAAAATCTATTTTGTCAACGGACGGAAGAAGCCAGCAGTGTCTGAAAAGTTCTAATTAATAGCCAAGTGTCCTCATAACTCCAGCTGTGAGTCCTCCTGATCCCTGGAAAAAAAACATCTGTTTGAACCAGGATGTGTTTTTCTCTTAATTCCCAGTTTCATCTGTTGGTGAACAACTTTGGACATAAAATTAAAATATCTTCCTTCTCTTCCTTCCTCCAGCGGACTCTACGGGCACCCACTCCCTGTACACCACCTACCAAGGCTACGAGGTCATGTTCCATGTGTCCACCATGCTGCCGTACATGCCCAACAACCCCCAGCAGGTAAGAGCACCACTACTTAAATCCTGCGTCATCACATCAGCCTATGTGTTTGGTGTGTACAGCTGAAAAATACAGCCATGACTGTCCTTCCTTGTCACCCAAAGCCTTTCAAAGTCTGTCTGTGGTTGTTGGTTAAAGCCTCTGTCGTTTGCTCCGGGTCGTAAACCACAGCAAGAATTCATCAAATGGAAACTTGTGACTTGTGTCGCCCTCTTCATTTAGAGTCTGTTTCCTCTTTTATTCAGCCTCTTGTGTTTTTATAGTCTTTGTTCTCTGTGTCTTGGCTTCTCTGTCCTTTCTTTCTCGCAGGCTTCTTCTTCTGCCCTCTCTCTGCCTCTCATTCTTTAACTAGATCAGAGCTGGGTGGGGTTCAGTAGTGAGAAATTTCTTTATTTTCTCCCTCTTTTTTTTTTTTTTTAAACTTCTTTAAATAAAGCTGCCTTCCTACACATCCTCCTGGGTGCTGTGTGTTTGCAGTGTGGGTTGTGTGTGAGTGACCTGTGTGTAAGATAACATTTTGCGTGTGGGTATTTTTAATAGTTTGCATAAGTGTTTGCGTGAGAGGCTCACACGGGCTCACAATGGCTCACACATGCGCTCAGACAGGTCCTGTGGGTGCTCAGGATTGTGTCAGCGCATCACTGCAGAACAGTGCAGGCGATGGGGAACTTATTTGTTCTTCCTCAAACATTAAAAAATGTAATATATGGAAGTTGTGAATTGGAGAACTATACTTTAATCACCATACCCACAGCAATCTATTGTTTGTTATTGGAAACAAGCTTTTTTTGACCGATACATCATCTTGTTAACATTTTGTAAATGGGCAGTAAACAAGTAATGTGAGGGTTGCACCTTTTTAATTGAGAGAATTTAAAGTGTGTTTCAACACTTCATAGTAGTATCAACTCTCAGAAAGTGTAATTTAATAAATGGCACAATAACTCCATCCAGAGGTTTAGAGACTGCAGCAGCAGAGAGGTTTACTTGCTCAGATGATCCTCTAGGTGGCAGCATCCGGCATTAAAAAAAACCTGCAGCGAATGAGCAAGGGGAGGAGGAATTAAGTCGAATATATAGAAAGTGCGAAGGCTCTTATACTCAGGAGAGAAGAAAAGCAGAGCACAAGCTGCATCTTGTAGGACCAATGATGAAATGCCCTCATTGTTTCATATCAGTGCTATTTAGTTGTTTAGGGTTGGAGCTAAAATAGAAAATAGTCAAGATATTGATAAATAAAACAAACTTATTTTCTCCAAATGATCAATTCTAGCAATTATAGTTAGTATAGTTAATCACTACATCAAACACAGTAATCTAAATGTTAATAACTGCAGTCTTAGCACGAGGGAAGGATGCTCCTGTGGCACCATGCTTGAGAATCTTTGGCCAAACAGTGGGCTGGATTACATAATTGGTACTTTCACACTTTCCTCTGCAGATGAAGAGAGGATTGGCAAGCACAGCACCACAGACACAGCCTGGACTCTGTGCCACATTTCCTACACGAACGCAGATAGACGGACAGACCAACACATACACACACACACACACACACACACACACACACACACACACACACACACACAGACACAAATAGCCCACACAGAATCCGAAAAACAAATTACATAAAGAGCTGTTGTTTGGTGTCTAGTAGTGAGTGAGCGTCTCAATCTTTCATTTCCCTTGTCAGACTTCATCGTTGACTGAGTCAGCCAGTTATGTTAGCTCATTTTATTAATTTGTAATTTTTCATCTCTCCTCTTCCTCAGCTCTTGAGAAAAAGGCACATAGGGAACGACATTGTCACCATAATCTTTCAGGAGCCGGGAGCGTTGCCTTTCACCCCTCAGAATATCCGCTCACACTTCCAGCACGTCTTTGTTATCGTCCGTGTGCACAACCCCTGCTCTGAAAACACCTGTTACAGGTAAACGTTGAGAACAGAGAAAGCACATGTTCATATACACACAGCTACGTTAAAAATAGCTTCTCACACTTCAAATTCTGCCCGTCTCGCCTTTTCTTTCAGTGTTGCTGTGACAAGAATGAAGGATGTGCCTCCCTTCGGCCCACCCATCCCCAGCGGTGTCACCTTCCGTGACACAGAAACCTTTCGCAACTTCCTTCTAGCCAAAATTATCAATGCAGAAAATGCAGCGCACAAGTCTGAGAAGTTCCACACCATGGCGACACGAACACGGCAAGAGTATCTGCGCGATCTGGCGGAGAACTACGTCAGCGGCACGCCGCTCGACTCAGCCGGCAAGCTTAACAATCTCATCTCCCTCGCGTCCAAAAAACGCGAGCGCTCCAAGGCAAGAGAGGGAGCGGAGCTGGGAGCCGCGGGGGCCATCGCCTGGAGGGTCCTAGCCCAGGACTTCAGTGGAGGCGGGACAGAGCTCCCCTGTGCCTTGGGTTTGTCAGCAGAATACGTCCTCCTGACAGACTGTTCCACCAAAGAGGTGGTGTTTAACTGCTTCTGTGCGGACGTGATCGGCTGGACGCCGGAGCGGCTGGCTCTGAAGATCTTCTACGGCAGAGGAGACCACATCGCAGTGCGGGTACCAGAGGGCTGCGCACAGGACATCAGGGAGGTGGTGCAGAGATTAAAGGTGAGAGAGCGTGTTCCAGTTCAAGTACAGAGGGATGGTGACCAGAGCAGAGCAGAACATTTAAATCTGTGTTGCCTTTGACTCACGTACCTTGTGTTGTATTTGGGATCATAGTGAAGGGATCACTAGACCTTAAAGGTGTCCTTGTGCAGAGTTCTTGTAAACAAACAGTCAAGTCCTTCCTCCTCAAATATTTGCAAAGCTTTTTTTATTTTTATGCCTCCACCGGTGCTAGTGGTCTCTAGGACCTCAAAACTACACTTTTTTTTTGGGCTGTAACTCAAGAACTGATGTGGTAACCAGATGTTCAATAAGAAATAACGCTGAGGTGATGACATTTCTTTCATTGAAAAATCAAAGGTCAACTTTTTTACTCAACATAACTGGGGAACTGAAGGGGAGGATGTGACCATATTTCACAGTTGGTTGGTGACACTTTAGACTAAAAGGTCAAAGGTCATTGTGACTATAATTTAAGAATGAATTGGCCGATTCAAGATTTCACATGTTGACTACAAACAACATATTGGAGCGTGCCTAACTAATCATGATCCTGTGAGTTTCACCTACAGCTCATGAAGAGACTTTGCATATAAAACGTCCAGAAGAAAATAGAAGCACTACATTCAGTATAGCTATACTCTATATACTCTCTCTATACTCTAAAGTACATGCACCTGTTTAGTTAATAAAATTATGATGATCCTTCATCAATCAGTTTAAAAATATATATTAACTCAAATCATAATTATGTACCATCAATATAGTGATAACTTCTGTTTAGCCCAAAAATACACGTATTCCAAAAAACATGGAATTTAAAATTTAAAGTCAAGCTATGTAAATAAATTTGAGTATTTTGTCCTCCTTGACTTGAGAAATCAGAGGGGATACACCTCTATGTTTTTTGGAATATGTTCACTGGATGTTTGGGTTTAGCTCTCCACTGAGAATCCCATTGTAGAAGCACAAATCTCTCTTCCATGAAACTAATCACCATGAATCACCATGAGACATGGATGTAAACTGCAACTGGTCAGCAAAAATAATTAAATATATTTTTCATCTCTTTACTGGTCCTATTTGATAAACTAATTAATGCTCAAAGCGTATAACTATTACATTCATATTAATGTATGAGCACAAATATATATAGATATAGATATATATATATATATATATATATATAGATACAGATATATATATCTATATATATCTATATATATAGATATATATAGCTCACTTTGTCAATGAAGTTGTTCAACAGCACTGGCTGATGAGTAATTTCATATCGTGATAATCCCTGGAAATTTTGATGAAATGAAATGAAATGAATGAAATGCTGGGAAAAGGAGATTTCCTGGACTCCAGCAAGCTTTGTGTTAATCCTAGAGAAAACTGAATATTTAAAAAATGAGTTAATCTTTCTAAAAATACCAAATAAATGCATATTAGAGACTGATTCCAGAATCAAGATTCAGTATTTAACAGCCGTCATGCCTGTTTTATGATGTTTCGATGATACGTAGAGACTGTTTTAGTGCACATGTAACAACATAATACTACTGTAAATCTCTTTTTTGTTTATTCACATCATGTCCTCTCCTTGTCCAGTCTTTGACAGTGGGATGTGAGACGGTGGATATGACTCTGAGAAGAAACGGACTGGGACAACTGGGCTTCCATGTTCGCCTGGATGGCACTGTGGCCGAGGTACCGTCAGATTACCATCTGCCACGCCAGATCTCGTACTGAAATACTCATCTCTGAAGATTGTTGGCTGTACATAACTAGCTTCTTCTTTTTTTGTGTGTGTGTGGTTTTCTCGTGCAGGTGGAGGAGTACGGCTTTGCCTGGCAGGCGGGACTGAGACAGGGCAGTCGGTTAGTGGAGATCTGCAAGGTGGCCGCGGTGACGCTGACTCACGAGCAGATGATCGACCTGCTGAGGACGTCGGTCACGGTCAAAGTGGTCATCATTCCTCCGTACGAAGAAGGGGGGCCTCGCCGGTGCGTTAAAGTCTGCGTGTTGTATGTCTTTGAAGCTAAACTAATGAGTGATTCATTTTAAAACAGCTGTGGGGAATACAGATGTTGAGGCAGTAGGGTGACAGCACAGGAGAGCGCCGAGCTTTAGCAGGCAGCAGTGGAAGGACAAGAGCGAGCTAGAGTGAGTGCAGGACGCTCTTCACTCCAAACACACAAAGGCATGGGTGAGATAGTGGCTAGACTCCAATGTTCTGAGAGGATTTTGTGTGGGAGTGTGTGAAAAGAGGAAGCGAGCGAAACAAGAGAGAAAGAACGATGTGTAGCTCGAGAGGAAATGAGGTATGGAGACAAAAAGAAAGAAGCATTTGTTTTAATGTGAATTAACTAAAATCTGCCATTCTTTGTTCCTCCATCCTTCATATCTCATCTCGTTCAGCGTACCGTCACCTCGTTTCCTCACCTCCCCCAATCTATTTCTTTTCCCCGCCGTCATCTTTCTCCAACGTTTCATCTACACAAACGGCCTTGACAAAGAACAGAATAACGAGGCCTTATGAGACGCTGATGTGGTGTTACAGAACGGTTACGGAGGTGAAGGAATAACCACTGTGTGTGTGTGTGTGTGTGTGTGTGTGTGTGTGTGTGTGTGTGTGTGTGTGTGTGTGTGTGTGTGTGTGTGTGTGTGTGTTTCTGACTGAAAACCAGGGCTCTTAAATACAGTAATTGTGGCTGGCTGTGTGATCGCACAGTGGTTAGATTTCTTTAATGTTGGAGGCAGTTTAATTACACCAAGTTAAATCCCTTTGACATACACACACACACACTCTCTCTCTCTCTCTCAAGAAGCAGCTGATAATTAGAGTCTTGTATTTCTCTCTCCCCCCCTTTCTCGCTCTCTCTCTCTCTGACTCGTTTGTGTGCCAGGCAAGCAGATTGCATGAGATTAAGGCCTGGAATCTGCAGAGAGGGAGCAAAAAAAAAAAAAAAAAGGAGACCACAAAAAATAAATAAATAAATAAATGAGTGGAAGTGATTAATTAAAAATGCATGCCCTGTGCGAATGAAAAGGATGGAAAAGGAGGAGGGATAGAGAGAGTGAGAGAGAGAGAGAGAGAGAGAGAGAGAGAAAGGCAGCGTTGAGTGTATTGAGTTGGAGAGGCAGAGACGCGCTCGGTGAGGAGGACGTGTTTCAACACCACAGAGAGTGAGAGAAGTGGGTGGAAGAGAGACAGAAAGAGAAAGAGAGAGTTGGGAGTGTTTTTCCTTTGCTGCTCTGACTCCGTCGTGCAAGATGGACGGATGCTGTGGAGAAAAGGTGTGAGGTTGTAGTGTGTTTGACCGCGTGTGTGTGCGTGTGCGCGTATGTGTGATGGGGCACTCCAGCTGTGTGATGGAAGAAACACTGCATGTCAACATATGTGGGCTCTGTTCTCTCTAAGGTTTGTACTACTATTATGTAACGGTATGGATATTGATTGAGTTAGTAGTGTTTCTTGGTTGATCAGAATGTCCTGGACCACGTGTTGTGTTCATGTTTATTGAGTGTGATTGTGCACTGTTGTTATACTTTTGTTAAATATTCTGTTAACTAGTATGATGTTTACACTCTCGCAGCAGAGTACAGTAGATTGAGGGCTTAGTGTGACCAGGCTGTAGGGTTAATCCAGGTTAAAGTTCACCCTTGTGTCAGCGGTATCTATCCGTGCAGGTAGTTTGGGTGTTGTTTACTCAGGTTTATAATCTGTCACTGAGATTTCTGCCTCCACCACAATTCAATTGAGGTAAATGTAATTTCATCTGTTTTGCTCACAGCATTTTTCTTTTCTTTTTTACAACCCATTATTATTATTATTGTTTTTGTTATTATCCATAGTGTTCACTGTGTACAGTTTTAACTGGAACTGTTTACTAATGAAGAATAAGTCCCGTATTATTATGTTTGCCATTAATTAATTGTTTTAAGACATTTTAAGCACAAATGCTGAAAGAAATCAGGGGTTTTGGCTTCGCAAATAGGAATATTTTCTTGTCTTCTATGACAGTAAACTAATATCTTTGGGTTGGTCACAACCACAAAACAATACTTTTAATTTAAAGACATCACCCTGGTAGAAACTGTGAAATTTTTGACTATTTTCTGACAAGAAACGTTACTTGCAGCTCTGATTTGTGTGAACCAGCTCTTTAAGGGACACATCACACACTGTGTCTCTCTTATTTCAATCTTTGCTGTGATGTGTTTTTTTTTTTTATCCCACTCCTCCCTCACAGTGAATTTTCACCCCCCTCCCCCTCTCATCTCCTTCTCTCTCTTCCTCTCGGCATTTGTCTCGTCTTGAATACATCCTCTATGCATATTTGATGCCACCTGTAATAGGCTGTGTGAATAAAGTAATGATGTTGTGCAAAAGATGCGTGCGGGATATCGAGCTAGAGGCTACTATGACAACATTTTAGTTGAGTGTTTGTGTTTCTGTGTTGATAAAAGATCACTACCCCTCATCTTCTTACAAACTGACTTTCTCCCTCTGTCTCTTTAGGGGCTGCACAGAGGAGTATGAGATGAAGACCATGGAGCAGAAGCCAGAACCTGAGCCTCTGGCAGTAGGCTACCGGCCCTCCCCTCGCCCCACGTGGCGTTGGGACACCCCACCCATTCCTCCAGGGCTCCACAGCACCCCCAACCCGCAGCGCTGGGCCCCCGTGGGTCCCCCACCTCCTCCGTTGCCCCGCACACACAAGGGCCTGATGCCGGTTCCCTACAGGGAGCCTCAGCACCTCAGCAACATGAAGAGGTGAGACTCACACAGTCACATTAGATTACAGATTGGGTTATTTATAGCAAGTTCTTTGTATTTATACTCTGCAAATAGTTATTGTACCTGTCTCAGATACCACAGCTGATATTATATTAAATGATGAATGTAGGAAAATGTACAAAAATCTAAGTGAATGATGTTTAAACAAAACTCAGTAAGTAGAATCTTTTGTGGTACAATGATGGATGGATGGTGATTGATTCACTAAAGATTTAATTTGTTTTTCTATATATTCACAAACTGGTCCTGTAGCATTAGTCTGGTTCTCCTGAATCACCAGCCACATTGTCCTGCTCATTGATCGCTCTTTCCTCCATTTGAGTAAACAACTGAGCATTCAACATCATACAACAGATAGTCAGAAAAACATAAAAAAGAGACAAAGTGGGGATGAGATTGAAGCAGCTGTATAGAAATAACAATAAGTCTTAAAGGGACACATTTGATTGTTATCTTAACGGAATATTCGTTTGTAGTTTGTGACTATTTTTGTTGTTCTTATTTATTGTTGTAACAATATTTTTACGCTGCCCTTGTGGCCAGGTCTCCCTTTAAATAGTCTTATTATATAGTCTCTAGCAATAACAGACGACCGTCGATCTCTTGCCTAATGTCTGGGGATTTCTAAATGCAAAGTAGTTGCTTGAATGGCAGCGAGAGCGGCCGCTAACAAACGTACGCCTCTTAATTCAAGCCCACGCCTTACCTGAAACAATGCTCCCCCTGTTCTCCTCCTTAGTGAAACAAACTGGAGATGCAGTAAATCATTTTGTGACAGTTTGATTTGATTTATTTGACATCTAAAATTGATACATATATACATCAAACATATTTGGCCTTTTAACACATTTAAAATGGATGTTCCGAGCAGCGTTTATATAGTATGACAGTGTTTACATGCACAATACTTCTGCACGTCACCGCACTAAAGAGTTTGGATTGGTTCTACAATGCAGGTTTATTATACGGTCTTAATTATTTCCGCCCCAGTTTTAACAACAAAAGCTGCGAGAAAGTCCTCAGTCTCTATTGAGTGAAGCGTTTAGTGAGTCAACCCTTCAAAAGACTTTAGCCTAGTAAAATAAAATGAATGAATGTGACGTCAGCTGGATGGATCACTCAAGAAAACAAATCCTAAACATGTCTGACTATCAGGCTGCTGTTTCGGGTGAATGGAGACAACTATTCTTTCCACCATAAAAACACTGTGTGAATCATCAACTGAAGGTATTTCTAGCGTCAGCCCTTTTGTAGAGATGGCCTTCATGCAGTAACACTCAATAAATAATTACAAATCATCTTAAGGGCAAACTCGCATGTTCTTTTTTATTACACTGTGTCTACGCCCACCAACCCTCAGAGGAATGCATTTGGAAACTAATATTCACAGTAATCTTTCTCCTAAAGTGAGGAACTATATTTACTTTAAGTAAAACTGTTTTTTAAACTTGTGTATGACCTTACAATACTTTGTTTAGACTCCTGAAGGAATACATGTATATAACTCTGCTCACAGGGATATTTATGTTTTGTTTTGATCCTTTTTGTTCCCAGTTGCTAACCACACACACGCATTACTTGGAGCTGGTGTCACACTGCCCACTCCCAACGTTAATAACAGCAATCGAATCCTGGCAGCTTCTAACTGAATCTTTCTCTTTTTGCAGCATGTTTGTCACTAATTTAGATAAATGGTTTTCTTGTGTTCCCGTAACTGCCTTACTCATGGGCCTCACCTCTCTGTGGTCTGTGTGTTTGTCTCTTGGTTAACCATCAGCCTCTTTGTGTGTCCTCCAGGCCAATGAGCTACCCAGAGAACCACTACAGTATCTCTCCTGCAGTAGGCGACAGAGTGCTGCCCTACAGAAACCCCTCAGCCAGCTTCTCCTCGCCCTCCTCAGGCCTGGTCAGCCTCTCCACGATGGGGCCGCCTGGAATCACACCAGGCCCCTTTGTACGCTACAAACCCTCACTTGACAGGTGTGTGTGTGTGTGTGTGTGTGTGTGTGTGTGTGTGTGTGTGTGTGTGTGTGTGTGTGTGTGTGTGTGTGTGTGTGTGTGTGTGTGTGTGTGTGTGTGTGTGTGTGTGTGTGGTCTTTTGTTCTCCGAGCTCTCCTGTTTTGATCTTGATTAAACATGTCCGCTGTTACTCATAACAACTGTTTTGTGCATTAGAGTCGGATTATATCTGTTCATAAGATAGGGCTGAATAATGTGGCTCGTTCAGGTCTGCTGTTAGACATGTATGAACACACTGTCTCCTAGGGGAAGGATCTGTTGTGTGGGTGGCTCTTCCTCGCAGTGTGGAGGTTGATAACATCTCGCCCAACCAGAAAAATGTGTTTTATTCAACCGCCATCCGGATGCAAAACAGAAACTGAAATTCTCCTCTGCTCAGTCAAATCCAAACATTTTTATTGTTTGTTTTGGACGTTTATTTTAGTGTATTTGTGTGTTTCAGTTAACTAAACCCTCCCTGTGTTGTTGTGTACAAGTGTTAATTAATCTTGAATTTCCCTCGGGATAAATAAAGTATCTATCTATCTGTCTATCTCTCTCTATCTGTCTTTCTCTATCTCTCTCTCTCTCTCTCTCGTCCTATGATCCTCTGTGTAGATATGGAACAGCACAGCGCCCCCTGCTGCCCTATGAGCCCCACCTCAGTGTGGACGTCACCTCCAGTGGAGAGTCCTCCTCAGGCTTCACCAGTCAGGAGAGCACCATGGAGCGCTGCAAAACAGGTACCTTCAAACAGAGTTAGCAACCAGCTGGTGAACATAGTGGAGCATTTAGCGCCCCCTCTGGTTTCCACCTCAGACAACCAGTAGCAAAAACTGTACTTTACTGTATGTGTGGCTTTATCTTCTTGCCCAGTATTGCTCTTGTTGTTGTGTTGCTTTTTATTGCTACTCCTAAAGAATCAGTTGCACTTTGGGGACAAATAAATGTCCTGAACTTGAACTAAAGAGCCAAATATTTCCTTTAGGAGTTGGTAGAGACCAAAAACAGAGCTAAAAGGAGTGTGAATATTAGACATACACTCATCGGGTGACCAAAAACATGAAACCAAATGAATCATATATTTGCTCTGTATCTGCTGTATGTGTAAGTAGTCAGCTGTTTGCTAACACATTCGCTTTATAAGCTTAAAAGGTGATGATATGTGGTTAAGTTAATCAAACTTGTCTTTAACTGCATTCATAACTGCATTCTGCATCATCTCTATATTGTTTCAAAGTGTGTTACACAGTGGAGTAGAGATGACAGAGTGTGATTTTGTGCGTTGGTGGGTGGGTGGGTGGAGGTCAGTGTTTAAATGTGCTATAAGTATTTAATCCTCTTTGCCAGCCATGGAGGTTCAGTGTAATTTGCTTTAATCCTGTGAGTGTCTGTGTGTTTTCTGTCTAGAACCCCTCTGGCATGTCCCAGTGTCGTCGTCTCGGGGACCGGGAGGTGGAGGGGGGCAGAGGAGGGTACCCAGACAGGATGTCCCAGGGAAAGATTCTCCAAACAGACACTCGAAGGTCAGACTCGTCATCACCCACGTCTCATTTGTTCATCTGTCACCTCTGAGTCTGTCTGAATGTTGCCCTCGTGTCCTCTGCAGGGCGAGACTCAGTACTCCAGCCACTCCAGCAGCAACACCCTGTCCAGTAACGCCTCCAGCAGCCACAGCGACGAGCGCTGGTTCGACGGAGGAGCCGGGGGAGAGCGAGGAGGCGGGGGTTGCCTCCCCGACCCAGTCGACCCCGACCCCGACCTTCTCAACAAGGGGGGATCTAACGACAGCGGCATCGATGCTTCAACCCACTACAACAACGTTCGACACAGCAACGTGACCAACAACCAGTCCCACAAACCCATGCACAGCTTCGCGACCTACAGCGGCATGCAGGAGCTGTCTGTGGGAAGGAGCAGCGGCGGGGGGGAAGCGAGGAGACGAGAGTCTTCGCCCATCATACCAGCGGCAGCCAATAAGAACAAAGGATACCGGACGAGGACGTTCCCGCCTCCTGGCTCCAGTGCTGATAAAATGGATGCTTTCAAACCCAGGTAAGATACCGACTCGCTGATTAGATGCATCTTTTACGGGCTGTTTTTTATGGAGCTAATATTAAGTAACTGGACAATTTAGCTCAGATATGTGATGGCTTTTATTGGATGGAAAGTGCCGAGTGCCATTCATAAATCTTTCAGTTTAATGCCGCTCTGCTTAATGGAGAATGTATGTGCTTGGTAATAACTTTAGACTTTTAATAAAGTTTTGTAGAATCTGTAGTGAATGATACACCAAGCAGCAGTTATGTACCACCGCTAGATAATAAACATTTAATTTAATTTTAGGAAAACAATATAAAGAACACACCACCATATGTATAAAATCTGGGTATTTATCTGGTATTTATTTATTTATAACATCCAACATCATAGCCCTCAGTTTACAACTCTGCTTTCTAACAGTTGGGGGTTTAAACACGAAACTCAATAGTGTTTTTAAAGAATTTTCTTTTCCGCCCAATGTTAAACCAATGGTGTGATACATGAACATCTATCTCTAAAGGATACATTAAGGATTAAAGCAGCCTAATCCTTGTGAAACATACAGATCATCACATGATCTCCTCTGCTGGTGGACTTGGTCACTGCCACCCCCACATCATGATTGCATACAGGCCTAAAACACACACACACACACACACACACACACACACACACACACACACACACACACACACACAGAGGGTTCGACCACTCTGTGTTGGATTAAAACAATCTGTGGTTAAACCCCGAGTGCCAGCAGAGACTGATGTTGCAGTCTGTTCCTGGGATTTGTTGGACCATCAACATAATATAATATAATATACATAAAATTAAAACGGAAGGCTGTAGAGCAGAAATGATTCATCACAGGTATTGTGCACACTGTTCTTTCTAACTGAGGAAAAGGTTAGCTGAATAATTCGTATGTTTTAATAGAATTAGTTAGTTGGTAAAGAATTGGCGTGTTGGATAAAAGACATTTGAGGTGGTAGAGTAATAACTCTTCTGCTGTTTACCTTTGCTACCATTAGTGTTGTATCAGCAGTCAGTAGCATTGTATCTGCTGGGTGATACTGCTGCTAACAGACAGCACTACCTGGACTTTAATTACATGCTCTATCTTCATTCCCCGATCAATGAAGAGGAGGAAAGGAAAATGTATGCTGCAAGAATCAATTACACATTCAAAGAGCAGTAAAAGAAACTCAATTTACCCTCTGAGAGACTTTCATGGGTGCTTCTTCTGTGTTTTAATGTTTTATTTCACATGTTCATGGTGACTTTACAGGCAAGAGGATCTCCAGTAACTCAATCGTATAATTACTGTTGAATATGTTTAACATTTTAGGAAATAGATCAGAATAGCACTCTTATATCTTTGTGTTTAATATGAAGCTCCAGCCAGCAGATGGTTAGCGATTTTTGAATGATCCTTCAAAGGGGTAAATAATTAAACCAAGATGTAAAATTCAGTATTTAAGCAGAAAAATCATAAATCTTTTGTTCAGCTGGAGAATGATTTCCTCTGCATGTTCCTTCCTGTGATCTAAGTATCTTGTTCTTTTAATGCAGTTTGCGTCATGTTGTGTCTCAAGCGATCTGTGATGTAATATATGACTATAAATATTAAATCTTTCTCCTTTTAAAGGAGGATAGACGAGCAGTTCTCACTATTACTTATCTTCAGTCTAATTATTCGCACCAAATAGCTACTGACAGTCTGTTAGCACCAGTGTTAGCAGGTGAAATCCAAACATGGCTCCCCGTGGCTAACTGCATTCAAGCTATCAGTCTTTCACGCTGTTGTTTTACCACATTGCTGTTGATTTTGTCGCATTAATCACATGTTATATCTATGTGTCTCGTCCCTCCTCTCAGGGCCTACACACCGCAGGGTTACAAGACTCCGACAGCTGAGAAAACCCGGCCGGTCCGAGCCGCTACGACAACACCCACTTCAGCTCAGTTAGGCTCCATCCCACTGTCCAGCTCTGCCCCCAAGGCCTTATATGGGAAGAGCAGACCGAGCGCCTGGCAGAACGAAGACAACAGCCCGTCACCTTCAAACGCAACCACAACGTCCAGCTCCGACAGCAACAACAGCAAGAAGTACGTTAGCTTCAAAAGATCACAATAGCTTTTATTCTGTTCCTGAACATCACAAATGTTTACCCAATAAAACAAAGCGACTCATCTCAACTGGATGATAAGGAGCATAAGTCTGTTCTTTTTCCTGTACTGTTAATCATCTCCTTATACGTGAGTTCTTTTTCCTGTACTGTTAATCATCTCCTTATACGTGAGTTATTGTCAACATGGAACAGCTTCAAACACATTAATAGGAAGTCTTCAGTTTGAAACTAGTTACTAAAACAGAGACCAGTAAAAGTGCTGCAGGTTTTAATGGTTTCGGTCTCAGGAAGAAAATAGATGCTATTCTTTGTGTTGTTGGTGCTCATGTCTTGTGTCTCCAGGCAGGTGGATACAAACTCAAAGAACGTGTTTGGACAACCTCGTCTCCGAGCGTCACTGAGGGACCTGCGTTCTCCGCGACGGACTTACAAAAGTACCATCGAAGACGACCTGAAGAAACTGATAATCATGGACAACCCGGGAGAGATGCCTCAAAGAGATCCGGTAAGGAACACACCAACACTGGCGAACCATTTTATCATTAAACAATCTTATGTTGATGATGTTGATGATGTTGATGATGCACACAGCTCTGATCTCTGTTACTTTCCTCCCCGCAGTCTCCCAGACGAACCCTGCAGCGCACCTTTTCAGACGAGTCGCTGTGCAGCGGGCGCAGGGAGGCCAGCTTCGCCAACTCTGAGAACCAGACGACCCCCACTGACCTGTTCACCTGCACTCTGCCCACACGCAGAAACGCCCCCTCCTCCAACCACATGCAGAACAAGAAGGGTGAGTTTAAACTGCTGTTTTCAGACAGGTGGACAAAACAGTCTAAGTAGGATTGTAATGCAACCTTGAAGTGTGTACTTTGTTTACTCACTGCCGTTTGTTGTCCTCCTGTCCCTCAGTGCCTCTGTCTGCCTCAGAACTGTCTCTCACAGAAGTTAGAGACAAAGTTCCCCCCCTGAGGAGGCTCGATCCCGGGCTGATGCCTCTTCCTGACACAGCCTGCGGACTGGAGTGGTCCAGCCTGGTCAATGCCGCTAAAGCCTACGAAGGTGAGGCTGGAGACACTTCACGATTAGGTTTGTTCAACTTAGGTTAAGTGTTGGAAGTGTAATATGTGGGGTTTTGTGGATTTTTCTATTAATAATAATATAATTAATCCTAATAATCATAATTTGGACCCAAGATTGTTGAATTAGCAGGTGTGCTCAGGCAGGATAGTGGAGGGTTTGTATGTACTCTGTTTGAATTGGTTGAAAGTTATTCAAAAAGCATTCACAACTGCTCACATTAACTTGGTTTTATTGGTCAATTTAATGCTAAACTGATCTAAAATTCCCTAAAATATAACTGATATCTTGTAATGAAGAATTTGAAACATTTAATTAAAAAAAAACGTGATTCATTAATTATAATTAACCTTTATAAAATCTTAAATCCCTGGTTGGTTGTTGTATTGTCTGGATGTTGGGGGTTGATCGGTTTCACAACGTCTCGGCTCTCTTCTGTCACACGACACTCCTGGGAAAGAAACAGGAGATCTGTGCGTTCATTTCGGCCTCGTACACGGCCGCCTGCTCTGCTTCCCAGCCACTATTTCTTTTCAGGGTCTCCCTCCTGTCCCTTGTGTCCTCTGCCACCACAAAGACGATCACCACACAGACAAACACACTAAACTCAACCCAACACTTGATCCATAACCTTACCTGTTGCCCGAGCCTCCTGCTGCCGAGGTCTGATTGTCTCATGTGTCTCAAGGGACAGTTTGATAAAAAAGTCCGATTATGTGTCTCTGTTGCAGCACAAAGAGCAGTTTCCCTCTTCTCGCTGACTGAGCCGCAGGTTGGAGGTCAAGACATGAGACCAGTCGTCAGTCCAGTCCAGTTTCTCACTCCTCAGACACCTCGAACCACACCGACCTTCAGCGGGTAGGTCAAACCTCGCCGTGTATCTGTAGGAAAGTGGAGCAGCCAGAGGAACACAACTCCTCTAAATATGTTTTATGTCTTCTGTCCTGCTGTTGGCTTCTATCACTGCTGCCACCTGGTGGTAATTTACTGTACTGTGGAACCGAATCCTCAGGTTGTTTACTCGTCTGTGTATTCTCACTGGAGTTAACAGTTTGTTATTCGAGTTGTAACATCAGTTTCTTTGCCAGAAACTGTTTATTTTTTTCTCCCAGTGAGCAGTAAGAAGATATTATTGAATCTAAAGATCTTCAGTTCAAACAGTCTAACACACAAACACCAGTAAAACCTGTCCTTCCTAACCACCTACATAACCAGAACAGCAGTGGGTTTGGGTGTGTGTGTGTTTGTCTCAATACAAAGTAATGTGTGCTGTGTTTGTTGACAGGGACGAGGTGCCCAACGATCTGTCTGGTCGACTCTACCACCTGGAAGTGATGTTAAAACAGCTGAACAATGACCTGGAGAGAGTGAGAATCTTTTGTTTTTCACATTTTTGCCTTTATGAAACAGTTTAAAGTGGAAAGTTAACTTAGTTTAACCCAGAATGTGATAGTGATGTTGCGTGTACCCCGTTATAAATTCATTATTTTTATATTTAAACTGTCTTCCGCTGTAATAAATCAGTGCTGTACTGATGTGTGTGTTCAAGCTGCTCAACAGATCCTCAGTTTATCTGGTTAATTTTGATATAACTGTAATTTAAAGGAGTCATTTGACAGACAAAATGGTAACAAACTTCCCTTAAACAGCAACTCTAAAGCTCTCTAATCAAATCTTGTTCAAAAGAAAGTGTAAAAACGACATGTTGTGGTTATTTGGTGGCTAGCAGTTACCCTCAGTTTCCAGTCTTTGTGCTAAGCTAACTTTCTCCTTGCTGTGGCTTCATATTCAGTCTTTCTAAACTATTCTCTTCGTCTCTCTACCACCAGGAGAAGCAGGATAAAGTCGTTCTGCTTGCAGAGATGGCCAACCTGAGAGAGAATAACCAGCGCTTACAGGTGGAGAGCATGACCGCCAGCGAGCAGCTGCGCAAGTTCAGCCGGATCTTTACTAACCTGGACAAGACGGAAAATGACACCGAGGCTCACTCCTTAACAGACGAAACCGACTCGAAGAGGGAGTGAGATCGACACCTGAAGAAGAGGAAGAGGAGGAGTGTGAGATTCAGGCCACAGAGGGAGGCAAAAAACCCTCTTTCAGTACCCATGATTCCTTGCACACAGGGGCGGCAGAGGTCACAATGATGTCACCTCACTCAGCTTCCACTGGACAGCCTTAAACTGTAGAGAGAGCGCGAGAGAAAATTTGATTTTTAAAAATGCAACACTCCCAGAAAGCCTGTGCACAGACAGAGCAGAGACCCTCCCTCTCTATTCTCTGAGCCCGTTTATTTTTATAAACTGAAGTCGAAACGTCTTATATACTTGTCTTATATATGAATACACGTGCTACTATGCCAGAGGAGCGAGTAGGAGAGCAGACTGACTGTTTTAGAGAACACTACATCACCTGGAGAGGCCTAATACTGTTCCTGCAGCGAATCAGCCAAAAGAAAAAGAAAAATCATTACAGACTGCATCTCCCAGAATGCACTAGAAGTAATGGAGGCTCTACAGACATGGTACTGTAGATAAGATGCCTGTGTGGTACAATTCTCATGTATCAATATTATCTATATTGTACTGATGTTGTATAACAGTTGTACTAAAGAGGTGTGTGTGTGTGTGTGTGTGTGTGTGTAACTGATGGTACAGTGAATACTCTGAAGCATTAACGCACAACAGTGTTTGTGCTCAAGGCAAGATGCATTTTACTACCCTCTGGAGTGTGTGTGTGTGTGTGTGTGTGTGTGTGTGTGTGTGTGTGTGTGTGTGTGTGTGTGTGTGTGTGTGTGTGTGTGTGTGTGTGTGTGTGTGTGTGTGTGTGTGTGTGTGTGTGATGGTCTGTTATAGGACGTTTGCTTGATGAACAAACTAGTTTACTGTAATATGAAACTCGTGGGCCACAATAATTTCCTTTCCTCCGTTTACATGGACGAACCCGTGGCCCCTTTTTTTTGTAGATGTGAAACAAGCCATCAGCGTGTTGAGCGAGTGTAAGTGGTCGACGTTATAAAGCTCAGTGATATATGATAGTATCATATCTCTAATGTAAGTTGGTGCATTGTTTTTGAATTTCATTTCCACTGTGTTCAGCAGTGCTGTATCATCTCAGATCGAAATGTACTGGAGAATTATTGAACCTTGAGTCGTTTTATCGCAGTACATATTTGAATTTTTTTTTATTTTTTCCTAATGTTTAAAGTAAAAGTTGGACATTTTTGAGAAATATGCTTATTCACTTCATGGCGGAGATAGATGAGAGATTAGACGCCAGTCTTGTGTCAGTCAACAGCCAGCAAACGCTAAACACAGAGAAACTGCCCAGCGGTAATATCAGCTGACCCACGTCTTTAAAACTAACGTTATATTTAATTTATTTAATCTCAAACAAAAAACAAATTGTTTTCCGTCTAGTTTTTAGCTAAGTAACTTCTGTGACTCTCTTAGCAATTACACAATTACAGTCACATACTTGAGTTTGATAGCCGTTATTTAACATTATTTAGGTATAAATAAACACATAATAATGTGTTCATTATTGAGCTTTAGAGGTGGATTTTGTTACAGTTTCCCCTTGTTTCCAGTCTTTATGCTAAGCTAACCATCTGCTGGCTGTAGCTTCATATGGTGTCAAATCTTTTTCATCCGTCTCTCTCCTCTTGACAGTGAGTAACAATAATTCCCCAAAATGTCAAACTGTTCTAACAACGGCATCTTTGCAGACTAATGAGAATGAAGCTGTCCCCAGTGACGTTCCTGCTTTACTGTACATGAACCCTTCAACACTGAAGCTCCTGCATATCAGATCCTGTCTGTCTGTCTGTCTGTCTGTCTGTCTGTCTGTCTGTCTGTCTGCTGTGTGTGAGAGAGGATTTGTCCCTGTGTTCTGTGATAACCCAAATGAACACAAAAGACACTATTTATACTGCTCGCTTGCTTAATGATATTGTCTACTATATCTATTTTTCATACAGAAATAATGTGTTTTTTTGGATGCTGGTACTGAACAAACAATACATCCCTGCAGAGGATGGATCTTATCTTCCTGCGTCAGTAGAGATATTGCTGATCAAATTGTACTAAATTATAATTTTCTCCCCGCTCTGCCCTGTTGAACTACTACATCTTCCCTGGTCTGACTGGAACTGTTGATCCCAACTCACTCAGGGTCGTCGAGATGCTGTTAATGACACTGAACCACCAGTTAGGGGTGGGCGAGAGGATGTCAATTTATCCTGTCAGAGACTTTGTGGTTCATATTTCTGGGTGTTTGATGTCATTGTAGATTTAATACCTTGATTATCTAGTATCTAGTTTGTTTGATTTACCTAAAAACAGACAAATATCGGTCCCTCCAGGATTTAGCGGGAGGTTATTGTGGCCTAAAATGTCTAAATAAAACTTTAGGCTTTTTCTTGCAATAAACTTGCAGGTAAAAGTGAAAATTGCTAAAAAAAAAAATAGTTGCAATTTCTTTTGTATAATTCATTAAAAACCGACAGCAACTTGTTCCAGTAAGAATAAATGTCTGCGTCGTCTGCATCTTCACAACTAGAAACCTGGAAGTGAGTTTGTTTGGTGTCAACTCTCTGAGCAGGAAAAGTTGCGATAATTGGACAAAATAGCAGAATTCACAGGGATTAGATGGAAAACTGCCTGGATGTACTGAAATATAAACAGTTTCTCAGTTGATTTCCCATGAACTCTATCGTATCACATCCACATCGCCCACTCCTACCATCCACCTTCCTTTCACCGACACAAAGAGGGAACAAAGTGTCACAGCGACTCTGAGCTGGACAGAAAACTGCCATTTCTCCTCGTGCTCCTCCTCAGCAGCATCCTGCTTTCACGTCACCACCTCCTTTAACTCTTCAGCGGCCAGTTAGTTTTCAAGTTGGGCTGTTCACTTTGATACCAGTGACGTTTATACTGAAGCTTATTTGGACCTTTTTATCCCGGATGAACAGATTCTGGCTCAAAAGGAAAAAAAGCTTCTTTTATTCTGTTTTTAGATATTTTTTATTTCAGCACTCCTGTTATTCCTCCTTCAGCTTCACAGGTGTCGCTGTGATTTTAGTATCTGCGAGTCTCAAACGTTTGCTTATGTAAAAGGGGCAAGGTTTCTTTTTTTAAATATATATATATATATATAAATTCTGTTCATGTTATGTATAATTGTAAGCTATTTATAGCGTACACAGCGATCCCTGTTGAACAAATCAATACTGCATTATGGTTAATGGTAATATTGTATAACTAGTTTTGTTTTTTAGATGTTAAATATTTTGATAATTTATTTTTTAACACATTCCCACTGTTGCAGACAATAGTGAAGATGAGAGGGTACTGTGTTTTTATTTGTTGTTGCTGTTTTACTTCTGATCTCTGTACAAAAACTGATTCCTCATCGTTTTCTATTTCCTGGCGTCATCTTTCCCGTGTGTGCGTCGGCGCTTTGTGCGTGTGGCGGAGGGTACGCGATGCAGAGACCAACATTGTTTTTTTCTTTGGGTTGTAATAATAACTTGTACATTTTAAAGTGTAAATTATGTTTTCATTATTTTATAAAAAATATATTAAAAATAACTATCTGAACATTGTCTCATTTTCTTTTATTTTTTCCTCTTAAGTTACATAAGTGGTTGTTAAATTAATGCTGCTACTGTTAAAATAAAATCCCAGAAGTTCAAATCCCCCAATACTCAAGTTTATTGTACTTTACTTTAAGACTTTTATATATATGTATATAGCTCAACATTTTTTGATAAACTGATTTATAGACAATATTCTATCAAGCAAAAATTCCAGATTTGTATCAATTAGTTGCTTTTCTTGGTGTTGATAGCAAATTAAATGAGTTTGGTTTGATTACATTTTGTGAGGCTCAAGAATATTGTAGTCTATTTAACAATTATTAGAGGATAATAAGTCATTTGCTTTTGATCTAGAGGGTTAGTAATAGCTGCCACCATAGTTTGGAAAATGCTGTCAAATTTAACATTCAGAATAATTTGAAAAACTGAAATTAACAATTTAATGATCTTTTGTTGCCACATTTTAGGAAAAGTGATCTTAAAAATGTAATTGATTTCTAATGAGACCTTTGTGCCATAATGTTTGAGTTCAAATATTTGTTTGGCAGCTTCACCAAGCAAATATTGAACATGATTGTGATCAAATCAGCAAATATTTCTGCCTCTTAATAATATTTCTCTAAATCCGCCCGACACGACTTCTTGTCAATACTGATGTTAAATAAAGTTTGTTTTAAGTTTCACAGCTCCCACAAACACAATTAAACAACTTGTTGCATGTAAAACATTTTATTATTTTCTATTACAAATTTAATTTCAAACATAAAATACACTTTGTAGTTAAGTACTCACGTCGACAGAACATTTGTTTAATAAAATTAATTCTATACATCCCGACAGTGTACCAAAGTACGATCAATGAAAATGCTCAAGTTTTGAATGGTTAGGAGGCTCGAGATCAAGCCCCTCCCCGGTAGGAGTGTGATTGAGAGCGTTTAAGAGCCGCACATGAGGCAGTCGTCTCGGTTCTCCAGAGAACACACCATGGCTGCGATGTTACGCCCTTTGATCTCCTCCTCTGAGGCCTTGACGGGCTCCGGCGTCTCCTTCAGCTTCTCCTTGTTCAAGGTGAACTGGATGGGGTTGGCAGCAGGCTTCGTCCTCAGGTAGTACATTCCCGTCTTCAGACCCTGCAGCGAGGAGAGAGAAGAGAGTTTAACACGTGTTGCGTTCATTAGCAGCGAGTTTTAATTCTTTATCCTCCACGTCTCACTTACTTGTTTCCAGCCGTAGAAGTGCATGCTGGTCAGTTTGCCGTAGTTGGGCTCCGCGATGTGGATGTTCAGGGACTGGCTCTGGTCGATGAAGGCGCCGCGGTCTGCAGCCATCTTGAGTACGGTCTTCTGGGAGATTTCCCACACGGTTTTATACAGCTGCTTCAGATCGTCAGGAATCCCTTCGATGTTCTGTGGAAACAAGAGTTGGAAAATGTCAAAAAAAAAGTTTAAGCAGCAACTTTTGTTGTTTGAGTAAATCTTCAAACAAATATTAGCTGGTTCCAGGTCCTCAAAGTGAAGATTTCCTGCTCTTGTCTGTTTTCTATGATATTATTATTCTATGATACTGAATATTTTAGGGTTTATTTCAGACAAAAGCAACTTTAATACGTCACCTCTGACTCTTTATGGTGGGCAATAGAGTATTTTCAGATATATTTTATAGACAAAATTAATCAAAAATTAATCTGATGAAGGTGATCGTTAGTTGCAGCTCTACAAAGTACTGGACCCTGGTTGTCCCAGTACAGTTAATACAAAATGAGACAACTGAGACTTTTCAGTCGTTGTTTTAGTGACCAGACTTAAGAAAATATTAATAAACGTTAGTTGCCGCTCTAGTTGTGACTGACTGTCCATCATAACTTCCTAGACACAATAGTGTCTGCAAGTGTCTCAATTCAGTCTGAAACTAGATCACTTAAATATGAGAAAGAAATACAGCAAATGTTTGATACTTTTGACTGAAATAAATTATCAAAATAGAAAAGGTTTAGACCAAAGTTTTAACTCCTTCGATGGATTACCTGAATGGACCCGTTGTGAGCGATCAGCTGGTTCTTCATCTCCTCGCTCCACAGTCCTCTCTCCGTCAGGTCTTTGAGCAGGTGAGGATTCACGATCTGAAACTCTCCAGAGAGCACCCTGCGGGTGTAGATGTTGCTGGTGTAGGCTTCGATGGACTCGTTGTTGCCCAGGATCTGGGCGGTGGAGGCCGTGGGCATCGGGGCCAGCAGCAGGCTGTTCCTCACGCCGTGCTTGGCGATCTTCTCCTTCAGGACCTTCCAGTCCAGCAGGTCGGTGGGCGTCTTCTCCCACATGTCGTACTGGAGGATGCCCTTGCTGACCGGGGAGCCTTCGTACGTCTCGTAGGGGCCGAGCTCAGCAGCCAGCTCGCAGCTCGCCTCCAGGGCGGCGTAGTAGATGGTCTCAAAGATTTGAATGTTCAGCAGCTGAGCCTCAGGGCTTTCGAACGGGTAGCGCATGAGGATGAAGGCGTCTGCCAAACCCTGGACGCCGATTCCGATCGGCCTGTGGCGCTTGTTGGACTTCTCCGCTTCAGGCACTGGGTAGTAGTTAATTTCGATAATCTTGTTCAAGTTTTTGACGATTACTTTGGTCACAAATGCTAGTTTTTTAAAGTCAAAAGTCCGCTCAGGGGTGACGTACATGTTGAGCGCGATGGAGGCCAGATTACACACCGCTACCTCATCGTCGCTGGTGTACTCAACTATTTCTGTGCAGAGGTTGCTGCTTTTGATGGTGCCCAGATTCTGCTGGTTGCTCTTCCTGTTGCAGGCGTCTTTGTACAGCATGTACGGCGTACCGGTTTCTGTCTGGGACTCGATAATGGCGTGCCACACCTGCTGAGCCTTCACCACGCGCTTGACCCTCCCTTCCTTCTCATATGTGGTGTAAAGCTTCTCGAACTCCTCCCCCCAGCACTCGTCCAGCCCGGGGCACTCGTTCGGACACATCAGAGACCAGTCTGTGTTGCTCTCCACTCTCTTCATGAACAGGTCTGGGATCCACATGGCGTAGAAAAGGTCTCTGGCCCTCTGCTCCTCCTTTCCGGTGTTCTTCTTCAGCTCCAAGAAGTCAAACACATCGAAGTGCCAGGGCTCCAGGTACATGGCAAACGCTCCGGGCCTCTTGTTGCCTCCCTGGTCGACGTAGCGCGCAGTGTTGTTGTAGACTCTCAGCATGGGGACGAGCCCGTTGGAGTTGCCGTTGGTGCCGGCGATATAGCTCCCCGTCGATCTGATGCAGCTGACCGCCACGCCAATTCCCCCGGCCGACTTGGAGATGAGGGCACACTGCTTCAGCGTGTCGTAAATGCCTTCGATGCTGTCGTCTTTCATGGCGAGCAGGAAGCAGCTGGACAGCTGTGGCCTGTTGGTTCCCGCGTTGAAGAGCGTAGGGGAAGCGTGGGTGAACCACTTCTCCGACAGCAGGTTGTACGTCTCAATGGCTGCGTTGATGTCCGTTTTGTGGATCCCAACAGATACTCTCATGAGCATGTGCTGCGGACGCTCGGCCACTTTGCCGTTGATCTTCAACAGGTAGGACCGCTCCAGGGTCTTGAACCCGAAGAAGTTATAGGAGAAATCGCGGTCGAAGATGATGGCTGAGTTGAGGCGGTCTTTGTTCTCGAGAACGATGTCAAGCGTCTCCTTGGAGATCATGGGAGAGTGGCGTCTATTCAAGGGGTTGACGTAGTTGTACAGGTCCTCCATCACGTCACTGAACACCTTCTTCGTCTCTTTGTGCAGGTTTGAGACGGCGATCCGTGCAGCGAGGATGGCGTAGTCGGGGTGCTTGGTTGTGAGGGTGGCGGCGATCTCTGCGGCCAGCGTGTCGAGCTCCACGGTTGTGACGCCGCTGTACAAACCCTGGATCACCTTCATCGTAATCTGGGTCGGATCCACAAAGTCAGAGTTCAGCCCGTAGCACAGCTTCTGGATGCGAGACGTGATTTTATCGAACATGACGCGCTCTTGGCGTCCATCTGAAAAACAAACAAATATTTCTGTCAGTAAAACTGTTCAATCATTAACAGTTACAGTAACTGTCGGCTGTTACAATAAAGTATCAGTCATGACTA